CTTCAGGACACATTCTGCTTTTCACGTCTGTGGTTAGAATTCCCATTTGCTCACGTCCCCCGGCAGGGTGTCTGGGTGTGCTGGGCCGCGTCTGCGTTGCTGTAGTGAAGGATGTCAGCACACTTGTCACGATGCCGCCTCTAGTTTGCTGAAACCCACAGTCAGGCTATTGGCTTCAGCTTTATCCCTAGACCCATATTGATTTTATTTGCACTCCTGGCGAAGCCTGAATTACATTCAGACAACCAGAGTTATGTCAACAATATGCAGGCGGGGAAGGGCAGTGTCTCCGAGCTAGATTGTGCCGGGAGACTAGTTGGCAAACAACCCATTAAAAAGCTGAAAGAAAGAAATGCCAGCTTAGGGACTCCCTGGTGCTCTTCATCAGAGATCCCAGCTGGCACGTGGGCAGGCAGGCCTTCTCAGAGGAATGTCACTTCAGAGAAACTTCCAAGGGTGTGGCCCAGCTACCTAGTGTGGCCTCCGGGGAGGCTCACCAAGTGGCGACCTCCCCAAAGGCAGGGACACCCTCCTAGCATCTATGGGACACCCACCCAGTCTGTGGCTGTGCAGCATGACCAGCGATTGCTTGAAAGGAGAAGTTCTGATTACATATGAACATCTACATGCACAGGGTCCAGGGTCAATAATCTGAATCAAGCCTCCTGATGACGGCTTTTCTGTATCATTCGGCAGCTGGCTGGCTCATCGTGGCTGCAGGTTGACTGTGCGGTTTATAATTTGGCCTCTTTGAATTCCGTCAGTCCTAGTGCTTAATGAAGATGTGAGTTTTCATATGAATGAGATGCTCGGTGCGTGTCTGACTATGTGCCCAGTTCAGTGCTTGGCCTAAAGACACAAAGATGAGCCAGGTGGCCCCCAGCCCCCAGGATCTCACCGTCCAGTGAGGAAGGCAGAGCAGGAAAGGCTGGAAGGAGGTGCACACATCCGTTTAGGTTACCCAGAAGCAAACTACCACAGGCTTTGGAGACCAAACGGTTCACTGGGAAGGGATGTGACACGGAACGCAGGAAGCCCACCGGGGCCATGCCCGTTATCCAGCTGGTTCCCACAGCGGGCACACTGCAGCTCCGTCTGGCCGGGGAGATGGGGAGACAGGCTGGAACACGGTCTCTCTGGATGAACAGGACAGCAAGGCCCCTGTGGGAAGGGCGAGCAAAGCCCCAGGGCAGGAGCAGCGCTGTGTGGCTGGGGCCGGTGCAGGGGGGCAGGGACAGGGTTGGAGACAGACCCTCACTGCCCCCCGCCCACCACCCCGGACCCCAGGTCTCCTCCTCATCCACTGTGAGGACTCGGCCTTTTTGTCTCCACCAGATGGGAAGCCGGAGGGCAGGGACAGGATCCCACCGAACAGGATCCCTCCAGGGAATATATAGAAGGAGGCAGAGGAAGAGGGAGACCTGGGGGGTCTGCTGGGGCCTTGGCGTGGCCTGCTGATAGGTTAGCTATAGACTGATGGCAAGAGGCATTAAATGAACAAACCATAAATATTTACGAGGTGCAATACGAGCTGTTAAGACCAGCGTGCTGTGAGGGAAAATAGCAAGAAGTCTCTGGGGAGGGGGTGTCTGAGCAATGGCAGGTAAGTGGGGACCTGGAGGCAGGGAGAAGTCGGCCAGGTGAGGGGGTAAGGGGACACTACAGGCACAGACTCCGCAGACAGCACTCGGCTTGAGGGGTGTGGCCAAGGGGGTCTGAAAATGGGCTGGAGGTTGAGGCCAGGGTATAGACCACCCTCCTGGGGGTCCTCTGCCTTCCCTGCCCTCAGGCCTCCCCACAGGTCCCCCGCAGCACAGGTGCTAAGGTTGTCCACTGGCTGTCTCCTCCAACCCCACTGTTAACTGGACCCAGGTTGTGAGAGAGACTTGCCTAAAGTCAGGCCTGGACCACTGAGACTTTGATGTGGTATTTTCCATGGTGGAAGAGCTGCTTTTGAAGACTCAGCCCTGGGGATGGCATTGAGCCACTCAGCAGCAAGGCCTGCAGGTGGCAGCGTAGAACTGGCTCTGGAAGCGTTTCTTTGGGGGAAATGTGGAAGAAAGGCCACTCGGTTTGCAGGACAGCTGTGTGAAGACCTCCAGGCTGCTCTTATCTCAGGGTTGGTTCAGGCTGGAGAGAAACCCATTCCCACCCTCTGGGCCAGACCGTGAGAAACCAGCCCTCTGACTGTGAATGTGGTGGGTGAGGCCAGCCTGGCCTGTCTCCTTCCCAACCAGCCCTCTGCTCCACCAGCCACATGAAACCCACCTGTGCTTCTGGCTAAAGAGACACGAGAAAGGAATCTTGTGTCTCTTCCCTGTCCTGTGTCACCTCTTGGGAACATGAGTCTTCTTTGTCCCAAACATCACAGTTGATTTCAGAAGAGCGCAAGATCATATTGCAGTTGGGGTCAGAAGTGCTCAAATTCAAATGCTTTCCTTGTAAATTGATGTCCCATTGGGTATTACCTTTTCCCTATAACCAGACTAAGGGCAGAGCACAAAACTCACAAAAACTGTTCGGTATTGGCCACCAGTGAGGACAGTATGTGAAAAGCCCCGGATCCATTCCGGGAGCCGTCACCAACATCCCACGCTCCCTCCTGCACTGTCTGCGGGGCTGCAGCGACAGAGAAGGAAGGACAGTGACTTCAGGAATGCCAAACAAGTCGGGAGCATCTGCTCAGGACCGCATGCTACGCGCAGATGGAAGCTGGGCTCACATCCGCAGCAGGAATCGCAGCTTCATCCCGTGAAGATGCTCTCGGCTGTTTCAAGCACCTTAGAATGAGTGCATCGTGTTTGAGTCTTTTCAGATGCACCTGTAATGTTCCTGACGAAATGAAATTTCTTTGTGTCTCTGATAGCTTTTTTTCTTTGTATAAATCAGAACAGAATAGAATGGCCCAGCCAGTGTTCTCATCTCAGACTTGCTGATGATTCACTGAAGTTTAGACATAAACCAGAAGGGTGGTGACTTGGAGTCACACCTGGGGCAGATGTCTGGAGGATGGGGCTGGTGCAGTGGCTGAGGGGTCTTCAGGTAACCCAGGTGGTTACAACCTGGCTGTTTCTCACAAGCCTATCTTAAAACGCCTTCCACCCTCTGAAGGGGAGGCCACTTTATGTGTCATTGCGGGTCATGTTTTGTCTTTATAGAGCATCAGTACTTCCAGTGACCCCCCCCACCCCGGGTCCACGTGGGTTTCCCACCAGGCACTGCCAACAGGAGTAGAGTTCAACTGTGTTAAATGCCTGCAACCCTGAAGCCAAGAAGTCCGGCCACCTGTTGTCCATATTTTAGTGTCTCTGCTTGAGCGGGCCTGCTCGAGTCATCAGAGCATGCCCTCAAGCCCTGATGTTTGATCCCTGTACCAAGGAGTTATTTTTATTAGAGAAAACCATCGCTGTGTTGTACAGCATCTGATGAACACATTCAGGCTTCATTTCTTTATTCATTCAACCAAAATGCCAAGCGCTGTGCTGGGGCCGGAGACCCAGAGATGGCTGATGGGGGTCCTCCTGCTAACGCAAAGCCTCATAACAGAGCCTGACACAAGGTGGCTCAGTTAGTAATTATGAGGTGAAGGGATGTGTTGCTCAAAGGAGTACAGAGAATTCCTCAAAAGCCTTCTCCGCAAGTAAAGAAAAAAATGCCAAATCCCCCGTTTTCCCCAAGAGCAAAGAGCCGATGCTGCCAGTGCTTAGGCGGCCCAGGAACATACTTGAACAGCTTCTTTGCCTCCCGCGCCGGCCTGTTGGTCACCACGTCAGCTTGAGTGGCATCCTGGCACCTGCTTGGAGGCTCAGAGCTGCACTTTGGTCTGCTGCTCTGGGGAGGGGCGTGCACCCTCTCCTTAGGAATGTATCTGGAGCAAGAGTCCTCGCCCTTGGGCTCCGGGCTGTGGCGGTTCAGCCAGCTCCCCGAACACCAGCCTTCCCAGCAGCTGGTGTGTCCAGCACCCGTCTCCTTCACCCTCAGGCACATGCCCAACATGCAGAGTCTCGGGGGAGGTTCTCTGGCCACTCCTGGCTTCTCCGCGTCTCCACGGACTCCTTTGCTGACTGTTAAGGTGTCCCCATGTGATCCCATTCGCCTTTCCCCTTCGGCTGACCCCTCTCCACCTCGGACATGAAACTCTCCCCCATGAGAGTAATGAGGGCCTGGTCTCTCCAGGGCTTTTGGGTGGCATGATTCTAGTTATTAAAACTCAGGTGGGTCACTTATATGCCGCTGACCAATTGTTCTTCAGACTCAGAGGGTGGAGTGAGTTCTGTGTGAAATCAGATTCTGTGTATGTTCTGTGCATATCACCATTTATTTTTATGTGTCCAGGTCTAGACCTACACTTCTGTTCTTTCTGGGCTTTTTAAAGTAGCAGTAAGTCATCCCTACGGCTTGCCATTCAAGCAGCTCCCCTCCAGAGGACACTTCTCTCTGCACGGGTACACGTTTCCTTTGTGCAGACTAATCTTAAATTGGAAAATTTACAAATAAGAAAAAATATCCATACACAGCTTCTTTTTTTAACTGAAGTATAATCAACCCTGTATTCATTTCAAGTGTACAATATAGTGATACGACATTTTTGCACATTACAAAATGCTCACCACGAAAAGCGTAGTTACCCTCTGTCACCATATACAGTATAAATCTTTATTATATTAATTAATGGTTGGGAAGCATCATTTCCCCGAGAAGTTAACTTCCACATCCCAGAACGAGAATCAGCCAGCCCTTGGCAGAGTCCTATGACTTGATTCTTGGTTCCCTGTATACATGTTGTCTTCTCATAGCTAAGAGCAATTTTTTGCTACTTTGTGAATATTGCCCATAGGGTGAGCTTAGCCACTGACAAATGAACAGATAATTCATCTCCTTCAGATTCCTTCCTCAGCCCATCCCACCTCCCAGCAGGCATCAAGCTCAGCTACAACGTTGTCTACCACTTTTCCCTGGAAGAATGACTGATGGTTTTCATCTGTCTGCTTGTTGTTTAGAAAGCCAAGCTTGGCCCTGCTGGTAACAAAGTGATCAGTCCTTCAGAAGACAGGAGGCAGCCTTCCAACAACCTTGACAGAGTGAAACTCACAGACTTCAACTTCCTCATGGTGCTGGGGAAGGGGAGTTTCGGCAAGGTAAGAATGCCCGGCGGGCGCTGCTCTCCCTGAGGTTTCCAGAGCGGCTCTTCAGATTCTCTTCTCTCCATACATGACACCCTACGCGTTTCTCACATATTTCCTGCTTCATTCCATTAAAAACAAGTGTATCCAAAAAACTACAAAGGGTTCACTATATGTCACCAGGTCAGTGTTCTGAACAGAAAGGGTGCCCCAAAATGTTGGTTGAATGAATAATTTCCACGGCTAAAAATCAAATGTTGACTTGTAGTAAGTGAATGTAAATGACTAAGAGGTACTGAGCTGGTTTCTTTAGAGATCAGCCTGTATGTCTACAATTGGCTCCTCTGGCCCCAGATCTCGTGATAGATCCAGGAACTGATTTCAGTCCTGCCTTCTTCGTTATCTTGGTTCCTGACTCATGAGCAGCTTATGAAGGCCAGCCACATTTTTGCCCTAAGGATGCTTCCAGAAAATGTGCATGGTGCAAAACTAATACCAATAATGTCGGGCATTCCTTTAGCAGCCACAGCACCGCCATCGTGTGGCAACAGCCTGCACAGTGTGCCCATGTCGACAGCTTAGAAATTGTACTGCGCCAGAGGAATTGAATTTGCAGTGACATGCAGTATTTCAGAATTCGCACATCAAGTGGAACTTCATGAATATTTCATATTACACATTTCAGAGTGCAGGGACTGTCACGTGGCCCGGTTCCTCCCTACCCCCAGGACCAGACAAATGCTTAGAAGTTTTCAGGTCATTCTTCATCCACTGTCAGGTGATGCTTGCTGACAGGAAGGGAACAGAAGAACTGTACGCTATCAAAATCCTCAAGAAGGACGTGGTGATTCAAGACGACGACGTGGAGTGCACCATGGTGGAAAAGCGAGTCCTGGCTCTGCTCGACAAGCCGCCTTTCCTGACCCAGCTGCACTCCTGCTTCCAGACAGTGGTAAGGACCCAGGGGCATGTGTCCATGGCACGGCACTTTAATATTTAATAACTTCTGTGAAACAGTGATACTGTCTAGAAGAGAGCAGAGGTCAGCTCTTGGTGTGCTCAAGGGCTAGCCCTGAGCCGAACTGTCCTCAGCCTCTGAGTCAACCTCACCCCTGGGGAAAAGGCTGAGGAAAGGACCCCTCAGCCCCGACTGGTCTCTGCCAAGCAGAGGTGCCTTGGGCAACCTCTCTCTCTTGTGCTGTAGGGACATTTGGGCAGCCCCTCCCTTTCATGTGCTGTGCGTAGAGACTTGGCATTAATTCCGTTTAATTCAGCAAACATTTGTATCAAAGGTTTTTTCATACCCGGCAAAGTGTCGAGACTTAACGGTACAGAAAAAAAAACATAAAATAACTCATACTCCTGGCTTTTCCCAGCTGTCAAGCGTGGCACTGGAACATTAGGACACCTGATTTCATAAAAGAGTGTGTTCTTGTTTAATACACACAGCAGAGGTCAGCAGTCTGGCCTGTTTTGTACTCTAAGAAAGGTTTTAAAAAAAAAAAGCCCAAAGAATAATATTTTGTGACTTGTGAAAATTAGGTGAAATTCAGACTTCAGTAAATTTCTGTGTCCATAGATAAAAAGTTTCCTTGGAATACAGCCCTGTCAACTGCAGTTGCTTTCATGCTGCAAGATCAGTGGTGAATAGATGCAAGACACACACAAAGCCTAAAATAGTTACTGCCTAGCTCTTTGCAGAAAACATTTGCTGAGCCTTGTCATATGGTATAACTAAACAGAGGACCAAAAAAAATCCCAAAGCTCTCATCAGCCAGTTGTGGGGGCAGGGGGCTGGCATGGTGCTTCCAAGGGGCTTGCAAGAAATATTAGCATATGGATGGCACCATAATGAGGGATTCCCAAAATTGGGCTTTCCACTCCTTAGCAGCTGTCCTTTTTAAGACACGACATAATAAGCAGCAGCTCTAATTGTGACTATTATGATTATTACTATTTTCAACATCCTGATGGCCGGAAGTTGACTTTCTGTTTTATGCCTCCCTCAAATCTCTTGGGAGTCACCCCCCAGTGCTCTTGGGTTTTAGAATCTCAGACTGGCAGTGCAACCACATATAGTCTCAGGATGAGCAGTGCGCCACCAAGCCAGGTGCCGGCCACCATGCATCCGCTGGACGCTGATGGCACGCGTCAGCAGCCTGCTCCCAGCAGCTCCGAGTCATGCCAAGGAGAGAAGAGCAATAGGCTGGGAAGAGAGAACCATGTCTGATCCCAGTCCAGAACCTGTAGCCCTTGTTACCCTGATTAAGCTTCAGAAAGCTACAAAGCATAGAAATAAAGATGGAATTAAAGCTCATAGCAGGAAAGCTGGAGATGGAAGTTCCCAGAGCTGTTTCCTGGCTATTAGCACTGGCTTCATCATTTTTTTCTCCCTGGGCAACACTTTAATATTTAATAACTTCTGTGAAACAGTGATACTGTCTAGAAGAGAGCAGAGGTCAGCTCTTGGTGTGCTGTGCTCTGAGTTATGTCACCGTTAAGCCCCTCAGCCCCTCCATCTGCCCCATGTAACATCCTCATAAATATGCAGATTTGTTTGGTTCTAGGATGTATGCCCTTTGTGGGGCCAGCACTTAGCATACCAGTGACAGAGGAAATAAGAAACAATATTTGGGCATATTATGGATGCAGCAGCACATTTGATTAACCTTCCCATTTATGGTCCCCTTCCTCGGAGTACATAGCATTGGACATTTATAACTTAAAAGCCCAACCTAACTCATGCAATTTATTTTCAGTAGCGTCCACTTGAATACATTACTGCATTACTATGGCAGGCCTCCTAGACGCTGCAAACCAGAAGCAAGGGTTAAAATTAGATAACGGGCCCATATGGATTCCTCACACCATCCCTAACTCAGACGTGTATTAGGGGTTCAGGAGAAAGGAAGAACGTTTCAAGCCCTTGCTGTAATAGGGAGCATGCAGAACAGAGACTGCAGACCCAGTGCAGAGAGCTATTATTTCAGAATTCTGTAATGACCTTATGCCTCCCAAGACCCTCATGCAGTAGGGTTTATAACTTAGTCTTTATTTTGGAAAAAAACTTTGAAGGGCTCCACTGAGCATATCTGCCACTGCACATTTTGCTAACTAATGAGAAAGCAAAATGCAGTCTAGAAAAAGGGAAGGGCGTCGTGTGCTGGTGGAGGGGCCCCGCTCACACGCTGAACCTTCGTCTCCAGGATCGGCTGTACTTCGTCATGGAATATGTCAACGGCGGGGACCTCATGTACCACATCCAGCAAGTAGGAAAGTTTAAGGAACCACAAGCAGTGTGAGTATTTTCTTCTAGGTCCCTTAATTTAGACAACACAGGACTTCCAGCCGGGACTTCTGCTGGGTGAAGTCCCAGGTGGCAGATTGGCTGGCAGGGTCCATCTGAACATCGATTCTACTTCCAGGAAGTTGGAGATGCTGGTCTCCCATCACCCAGTCCCACCCTTGTGGACTGAGCCAGCCACTTGTTACCAAACATGGTCACCTCACACCCACAGGGCACCAGGCATTGGGGGGCGGGGTGGGGTGAGAGGGTCGGGCGGGAGGTGGTCTGGGGAGCATCTTGAGCTCAGTTTGGAAGGTCCCACTGAGATGCACAAGTCAGCTGTGCAAGAGGGAAATGTAGGCTTCAGGAAAAGTGGGGAGCCCTCCAGCCACAGTGGGGAATTTGATACCTGAAAACTCATCCTGTTTTTAGGAGGCAGGAAGCCACAGGAAACTCAGGCTCATCTAAACACGCAGCTATTTCATCTCCCTCAACGAGGATGCATAGTGAGCATGTCTCTGATGAACCAAGTTAGCAAATGTTAATCAGCCTCTGGCCAATTAAGTCCAAAAGATAAATCTGAAGAACCTTTGGCCTGTGTAGGACCATCCGTCCTGGGAGGATTACCTGAAGGCAGAATAGGGAATTCTTTGGCAGCAGGCTTAAAAAATGCAAAGGGGGCTTTTGTATTTTTACTTTTACTTTTCAGTGTTCAGAAATTGCCTGTTCTTATCCCCGCTCTTACATTGTTAAAAAGCATTAAAATGCTGGGATTATAAAATAAAATTTGATAACACAGAGCTGTAAAGAGCAAATGGCAGAATGGCCACTTTATACTATGAGGTAACTCAGAGGTGTCCTGTGCAGTATCCTTTCACTGTATTTGTGTTGCTGGAGAGTTTTCATCTTAAAAATACAGAAAAGCATGAAAAATAATGTAACAGTCACCTGTAATCCCATCTCTTCTCCCTCCCCTGTCCCACCCTTCTCCCACCAGCCCTCAGAGGTACCCCTACCTCGAGAATTTGGTCCTATCATCGGGGGATTTTCCCCCCCTCATGTTGATGTGTGTGCTTATTTTAAGCCTCCTGGGTGTGATGTGGGCATAGCCTTGTAACTTCTCAGACTTCAGAGATTCCTAAATGCTATGCAAATTCTAAACCATCCTTCAGCATTAATTGTGAGTTTCAGATATTAACTTGTTAACAATTGTGAACTGATGGCAGTAACTGCTTTTGATTATGAATTATTTAAAAGCATAAACTCAGGCATGAGTCATGGTATGTGTCCCATTTATCTCAGTACTTGGGGTGGGGGTGGGATGAGGAATCTAGCTCATCACATGCTATACTTTGTCTTCGAGGGAATAATTGTATTTCGAACACCAATATATTCTGTCCATGAATAGGAAAATGGAAATTTTCTCCACTCTAGTCCAGACAGAGAATAGTCTAACAGCCACTCTTTAAAATATTGCATTAGGGATTTCTTCTAAGCAGTAAATTACCTGTCCACCTGCCTCAGAGAAGAAGTACTTGTTTCTGGGTAGGTAATAAACCAGTCTCATTGATTTGTAGTGGCTGTATCATCCCCTGGGAAAGTTGGGGTAATAACGTGGTAGGGGACGGGCGAAGGGGTGGGAATACCATGTGTAGGGCAGTGATGACCCCTAACGGTCTTCAGTTCCTTTCCCTCTTCAATGCCTGACCTGGAGGGTACTAGGTATCTGAGGGTCCAAAGAAGCAAGTCAGAAATCTGACAAGCATTTTCTTTTGCAGATTCTATGCAGCGGAGATTTCCATTGGATTGTTCTTCCTCCATAAAAGAGGCATCATTTATAGGTGTGTATGGAAGCTCTGCCACCAGCAATGTTTGAGAGTGTTGCTCGACCTCTGTGGGCATGTAATCCTATGATGGGAACCTAAGACCTGGACTTGAAAACCCCTGAGGTAACAGAGACCTGCTGGGACCCACTCTGCGGCCTCCAGGCAAATCAGAACCATCTTCTGATTTCTGGACCTCAGAAGATTTTACATCTCATGTCTGCCTTCCATAAGAAAACATGCTTTTCTCTCCAGTGACATCTCCTTCCTCTTAGTTTTATTTAGAATGGAGGTCAAGGGACCATGGAAACCAAATCTGTGTTACAGGTGCTCAGCAGGAGAAGAGCATGGGGAGCTGTGGAGAGACAAGGGGAAAACTCGAATTAAATTCTTTGGGTTGTTAGCTACAGTGAGGACTGGTACCAAAGAAAGTAGAGCATCTTCCAGTATTAACTGAAAAGTAAAAGGACAAGTGGCACCAGGCAGAATGGAAGGGACACATGTGTGACACAATGAGATTACTAAGAAGTTTTATTGTTCTGGTTGTACATCAAACCCGCTGTGTGGGATACTAATAAAGCAAATAACCAGGGTCTCCCCAGACCTAATTAACAGGAACCCCTGGTGATTCACATGCTCAACCAAGGTTGGGTATCACTAGTTCGGCCATTTAGTCATTTATTTCAGTACGCATTTATTAAGTACCTACCATATCCTAGGCACTGCATTAGGCTTTGGAGATTTTAAAAACCAACCACGATAATTCCTGGTCCCAGCTCTCCCAGGACTTACCACTGGTATGTGTTGAGATGGTACTAGTCAGATATCCTTCTGACCCACCAGCTCCCGAGCAAACTATGTCATGTCCTGGGAAGGACACTGATACTGTCCTGCTTCCTTGCAGGGATCTGAAGTTAGATAATGTGATGCTGGATTCAGAAGGACATATCAAGATTGCTGATTTTGGGATGTGCAAGGAACACATGATGAATGGAGTCACAACCAGGACCTTCTGTGGGACTCCAGATTACATTGCCCCAGAGGTAGGGACCCCGATTCTCCTTGTTTTCTAGAATACTGCTTTCAAAACCGCTGATACAACCCCCTCACTGGGGCGTAGAGTCATTGGTGAGTCACTATGTCAGTGTGTGGGGTCATAACCACAAAACAGACTAAATAGAGCCAAATAAAAAAAAAGCTGAGAGTGCATTGCACATGATAAGGATATGTCTTGTTTCATGGAACTTTTTCATTATGTGTGCATGTGAGCTGGTTGCATGGCAAAATGTATTTCTTACATGGTTATGGTCAAAACAATTTAAGCAAGCCTATTAGGCAGAGAGGGGGATCTTGCTCGTAAAAATGTTCTGCATGCAAAAACTGGGTCAGAAGGTGGTTCCAGCGGTGGCTTTTAGCAAAATCAGAGTGATTAGTGGTCTAAATGACATGTTGAAACTGATCATGGTGTTTAATCAAGAAGACTGCTTCGATGTGGTTTTAAGCAAAGTGGTTCAAGATTTGTATTTACTGCAGTGACTGTACCGTTTTGTCTTGTTATAACACACTGGGTCATTCTCTTTCCTGCATGCCAGTGATTGGACAGGTTATAACCCTGGGTAGCCAACTTTCTATCCACACGCAGCCCTGTAAATGAAAGAGTCTCTTCCCATCTGAACTCCTGCATGGTGGAAAGTAATAGATGCGAGGTTAGGCCAACCTTCAGCCTTTTGTAGAGCTCTCATGTTAGCTATTGGCAGCTTTTGTGGCATTTCTTCAACAGATAAGCCCATGCATCTTTCTCAGTAGACAGTAGTTATAGTGGAAAAGATACGAGCTCAGAAATCAGGCCAATGTGAACTTCAGTCCTGACCATTATTTACAGGCTGTGGGAACTCAATCTTGTTACTTAACCTCTCTGAACTTCTGTTCCACAGTGACAAGTTAGAGAACATATTATCCTTATAGAATTGCTTTGAGTGTAAAAATGCCTGATACAATGTTTTGTGCCTCATAGATCCTCAGCAGTAGTCATTATTCCAAAAGGGACGCTAATTTTTTCTCTTTGTTAAGGGTTTTTGTTATATGCCTAGAAGGTGTGGAAACAGAAACATCTACTTAGGAATTGAAATTCAGAATTACATGGCCAAAGGTGACGTGTTCTCTTGATGCCTAATTTAGTGGGGGTTTCCTCCAGAAGAACACCATACATTAGTATTTTCAGCATAACATGAGCTTAACTAGTTGTATTTTTCAAACATGAAGAATAGAGAGGCTGTACAGTAAAAAATGCAACCTTCTAATGCAGTATTTATTCTGAAGCCTTCTTCTGACTGATGTGTATTAAGCAGCCTATGATTATGAGCTATGCCAGCTCCATTTCACACCCACCAAACATTGTAAAAACTTGGTGATGAGGAATGGCAGCATTTTTAGGAATAAAATGAACTTCCTCACCATTAAGACCCAGCCTCTGCCAATCAAATACCTTCCTGTGTTCAGTAACACCTCAGCCTCTGAGAGCATCTGACGGCATTCCACATAGATGAAACTTTTCCAAATTACTGAAGTTTATTGTGCTTTTTTTTTTAATGTTCCTCATTACATTAGTTTCCTATTGCTGTTATAACAAATAACCATGGACTTAGTGGACTGAAACAATACAAATGTGTTATCTCGCAGTTTTTGCCGTCAGAAGTCCAAAATCGGTCTCACTCGGTTGAAATCCAATGGTCAGCAGGGCTGCCCTCCCTCGGAAGCTGTGGGGGTATCCACTGCCTGCCTCTTCCAGCCTCTGGGGACTGTCCGCAGCCCTTGGCTGGTGCTGCCTTCCCCATCCATGCCGGAAGAGCACCATATCATAAACCGCCTTTTCTAACTCCGACCCTACGCCCTGTCTCTCATAAGGACCCTTGTGGTTACATGGGGCCACCCACATAGTCCAGGATCATTTCCCCATCTCAGAATCCTTATCACATCTGCAAGAGTCCCTTTCACTAAGCGAAATTAATATAGTCACAGATTCCAGGCATGATGAAGAGCACATCTTTGGGGGAGGGGGCCATTGTTCTGGCCACCATACTCACGATGGCATTCTAACTATTTGATAAACCTCCCACCTTCCCCCACCAAGGACAGCTAAACATACTTCTAACACCTGGGTAACTTTGGACCCTTTTTTTTTTTTTTTTT